TGAAAAAGACCAGCCCTACTGGTATGATAGAGACTGATGAAACCCCCAAGACTATGGCCCCTAGTTACCCTTTAAGCCTGGAATCGAACTCACTCCTTTGTCCTAACTGCCAGCCAAACAACAGACAAATCTACAGGATGAGCAATTCGACCAGGGAAGTGCACTCCTTAGAACAATCAACCATGGGAGATCAGAAAAGCAGCCCTGGTGCAGGGAAGAATCTCAAAAGGCAGGAATGCCCAGGACAAAGGGGCACAGGAAAAAGATAATCACAGGGAGAAAGTGGCACAAGAGAATTGTTACACTGTGAGCATTGCAATTAATGTCATAGAGCAAAATTTGTATGAACTGTTGAATGGAAAATGAATTTCCCCTGTAAACTTTCACCCAAATCACAATGAAAATCACTTTTTTTTTTTTAAAGGCAGGAGGAGGCTTCAAATAGAATTGACTATTTCTACCTTCGATCACAAGACCCTCCCATCAAAATGTCTACATAGTGTGCTTTAGAAATACTGCCTTAGTCAAATTGTATCAAGAGATAAGGAATTAATGTGTGGCTAAGAATTATTGTTAAGAAAATATGTGATTCAACACTCTGCAAAGATCCCTCCCTTCCCCTGTATTTCTCTGTAATGTGAAAGCATTTTCCTTTGTTTACTTTATCAAATACAAACAGACTGCTTCTCCTACAAGGCAGGATAGTCATGCATCATCTCTTAAAATGCAGTGTTACTCCAGTTCAAGGGGGAAAGAAATCCTAAATCACCTCATAAGGAATTCCCCACAGTAACTCCCTCTTGTTTTTTGAAGTTTCTGAATTCCCTAAAACATTGGACTGCCAAACAACCAAGCCCACAATGTAGCCATATCAATAAAAGCACTTACAATTTTAATACAAGTTGCTCCTGCTATCACAAAGTAAGAGCGTTCCTATGAAACCTTCTGTAAGCCAAAATGGTGTAAAGCAAAGAAGGAATGACCATTAATTTATAAGGGAAATTCTCTTGAGTGTTCTCAAACCCCAAAAGTAACATACCAAATCATGCTAAATAACACATGAACCTAAAACAATACTAACGTGTAGTAAAGTAGGAATTATATGATAAATATATACAGCCTGCAGAAAATGAAAGTTAAGTCGTCCGGGAACTGAATGTGAAGCACTTGCCTGAGATTTTTGCTACAGCTGAGGGTGATGCAATGATTGCAGAAAAGTGCTTCTTTCATTTTGAAAGGACACATAAGTTAAGGGCAGGTTTTCAGGATGTACTGAGTGCCCACAAATAACTATATGATAGAAAAATTGTTTTATAATAGAATGCTGGATGCAGGCAAGTTCAACACATGCACAATGTCTTTATTTCATTCACCATGATTGAAAAGCTTAATTATGTCCTATTTTATGCTAAGCATAACTCACTTCCGAGCTTTCTTAGGCTTTTCTGATACTTTAGGACACATCTTGCTAACAGATGCACAAAATAAACCGAGATAAAGCACAGATGCTCACAGACACGGTTCAAAGCTCCAGCAGCTTGATGCTGAGTGTAGTTCTTGGGGAAGCAGTCTGAAGTGCCACTCTCGCTAGGGGTGAATGCTACCTCTACCTCGGCTTGTTGCAAAACAAATGCTGAACACTGTTTTCACTCTGGCTTTTTTCATAAAAGTGAGAATCCTCTTTGGATTTCTTTTGGTGAGTGAAAATAGGTACTGATATAAGTCTTTCGTAAAAGTGAAGTGGCGTAAAGCGAAGTTTTGAAAATTGGGGGATACGTGTACTCTCTTTACAGACTAAGAATTAGATCAGCAGTACTGAATACAATTATGACCAAAATTCTCTCCCCAAAAATCCTCTGTGGCTTGAGAATATCAGGCTAATTGGTTCTAGAACTAATGGGAATGCAACTGGATTTTTGTGTTGGGAATGATTATTCTTCACAACGAAGGGCTTGGGAATGGGAACTTTCTCTGTAGAAAGGACCGAGAGCCTAGAGTGAGAATTTCTAGGAGAAAGAACTAGCCTTTTTAAGG